TGAACCGTATCTGGCTCCCTTGTCTTGCGTAGGTTCTGTGATGCCAATTGCTAACAGAGAGTTTCATTTGGCTCAATATATAGGAGCCTGGGCTTTTTTAATGGGAAAATCCAAGTTCTGTTTTCCCAGGAAGTATCAGAGCTTGCAGTACCATTGGTGGTGCAGGCATGTTCATTTAAGAGTGCTATATCCTATTCTGCAGCCTGAGGGAACTGAAAAGGGGTGGTGAGGAGGTGTGGAAACGGAGATTTGGCACCATGATTTTACTTCCTTTTTACTTTGCATACTCTTGATTGTTTCCCCTCCCCAATATAGTTCTCTTTTTAGATTTTGCAGTGTGGAGCTTATGTGATTATGGTTTCCTGAAGGATTCCCCATCTCCTTTAGACTACAGTATTTGTTGCTCACTGTTCAAAGGCAGAATGGAAACTTGCTTCTAGAATCCTCAGAATTGCTGGAGGCACCGCTTTGACCCCATTAAATTGCTTGTCCCAGATCCAGTTGCCACCAAACAGACGGTATCAGATTAATACAATTTGAACCTACAAACTCAAGCTTCTTAGCACTGGCTAAACACTTGCCTTATAGTGTAGAGGTTACACTGAAATAATGAGAACCAAATTACTCCAAGTTCTTTCTTTGCATTCACTAGGTTATTGAATTATAGCATCATGTTTGTAGTGCTTCAGGGAGAAATGAATTAGGAGTGAGATCTACACGATTGCCTTACAGGAAAGTTTTATGGGTAGCGACAAGGGAAACATTCTCCAAATGCTATTAAAAAGATTTTACTTCAGGTCCCATATATTTTCAATGTAATCTAAGAGCTGACTTTGAGTCACTGAACTTTGGAACAATACCTGTATGTGTTCCCTTTTGTTTCTTTTTGGGTGATTGCAGCCTTAAAGCTTAAAAAACTTTCTTAAAGCTGGTTACAAAAAAAAAAAGAAATCGTAAAATATGATTTGCACATTTGATAGATGAGGAGGAAATAAAAGACCTAGCAGAGAGTTTATGGATTATTTATGACTACTGGTAAATAACCGCAGGTTTCTACAATGGACTTACCCAATTCTCCCTCTGAACTGTAACATTCAAGCTGAACATCTTTTGATTCAGGAGATCTGTGTCTCTCCTTTGAGCAGTGAAAATGCCTAATCAAGTACTGCAGTGCTTATCTTCTTGCTCTAGTCGCCAAGACAATTTATGGTGCTTTAGCTGAACTTTTGTTTCATATGCTTTTTAAAAGCAAAGTAGCAAGTATTGTTTGTAGTATATCCTGCTTTATAATAGTAGGAGAAAATGGATAAAGATGTCGCTTGGGAGCCCAAGTTACAGAGCTGAACACAGCAGCATTTGCTGCGTATGTTACCGTTAGCCGTAGAGCACGAGGAGTTGGCTGACATGGTGCTGACCACAACTTTAGCCTGTGTAAGCAGCAAAAGGTTGTGTTTAGTGTACCAGCTCTCATGATTAAAGGCACTCCATGCCAAGATGGCACACTTTCATGGAAGTCTCCAGTGGTCATCTCTGAAAGGAAAGGATGTGACTTTTGGAGAGGTTTTAAGTCAAAGCCCTCTGGTTTTGTGTGTATTTTGAGCTGTAGCCTGCAGAATCCAGTCCCTGGATCCCCTTAGTGTGGATGCCTTATGCTTTTTGGTAGTCATTAGCGCTCAACAGAAAGGGAAGCAACTGCTGAGTGGCATGAGACGGTGCCAGATTCTCTTTTATTCTCCTGATCTGAGAGATTGCGTCTGCAAGCAGACACATTCAGAAAACATTTAGAGGGAAGTAGTAAATCACAAATGGTGGCAATACAAGTTGTTGTCACGGAGTGTAACCCAAAGAAATGGGTGAAAGCTTTTCTTTGTAGCAAGGTAGGCAGGTTATCAGTTGGGTTATACTTACCAGGGATGAGTGGACTGGGGAAATGCTTTTTAGCACAGTTCCTAGAGGGGCAGGATGCTCAATTTATATAAGCATGTACCTGTGGAAATAACAGGACAGAAAAGAATGGGTAGGATGAGATGGCCGACAGTGGGCTGGCACTGCGATTTCAGAAATATTTGGTGCCAGCGCAGAAGCCTGCCAGTATGGCTAGTGGCAGAAAGAAAACGGGGCAGCTAGAAAAAGGGTAAAAACCAAAGAGGAAAGGAATTGGATGGAAAAAGTCTGGGAAAGGAAGAAAGCAGAGATGTGTTTTCAGGGAGGGGATGGCAGGACAGCAGCAGTGATGAGGAAGAGGGCTGAAAAGCACCGCCAAGTCCTGTTGTGTTTAGTGTTCCAGAGTTATTTGCATTGCATGTTCTTAGTTTTTGGTGTGTCACTTAGAAAGGACTTCGTTACTGTCTCAGAGCCTTTTGCATTGTTGGATGTAGTATTTTTAACCCTCCCTATCCCATTTCCTTTTTTCATGAATTAGTCTTCCACCTGCTCTCTGCAATGTTCTTTCAGTTCGCATGACAATCCTGGACTTTAAGTAGGGATAAATCCCCAAAGCAGGGAACATAAAAGTAGTAATTCTTCTTATGGATCTTAAACTGGGATCTTTAATACTGGAGTGAAAGTCTACAAGTTTCCGAGGCTGTTAGTTGCTTCTAGCATGACTCTATTATATGCTGATGGCAGTGGACGAGCCAGTGGAAATGTACTGTCCAAGCTTGGCGAGTTTGCTTTACAGTTTCTTGGTAGAAACAGCAATTTAATCAACCAAAAAGTAAAGAAGTACAAATCTGTAACTCTTGACATCGCATTAACAATTCAGCTGTCAGGTCCACTCATGTTGGCAGGAGTAGGTGGCCAAAGGCAGATAGGTGATCTTTACTGCAGAGTTGTGAGTGGATTTGAATGGGCTGTGGGATGCAAGGTGCCAGGATAAGACTGTAGATGAAGGGTGGGATGTGGCTGATTTAGGCTATTTTGTATTGCTTTGTAAAAGCTTTGCTTTGCGTGACTGTTTCTTCCCATTATATATGACATTTATTGTGGGGGAGGAGAGAGCTTCTTATCCTACACTGAGACAGAGAACTGTATGGATATTTATTCTCAGCTATCTAATCTGTAGTTCAACTGCATTTCAAATGTGAATGGGACAGTCTGTATGAAGAGAGGGCAAAGGTAACAGCAGCCTCACTCCCTGGATGTTAATGTTTAACCTTAATGCTCCTTGAGGGAGGATCGGGTGAAAAGAGGAAGAGAAAGGTCTAAGAAAGCAAGAGAGAGATGCTGGAGTCTGCTATAAAGAGGGAAGCAGATGAGCTTCATGGTCCCTGGTCTTGTGTTGAGGGTAACCTGGCATTTACAGCCAAGACTTTGTCTTCCGTAACCCAGATGACAAATAGATTTTCTAAAACAAAGCAAAATTCATCTTAGCTAGCTTTTATTCACTGCTGGTTGCCTGACTTCCGCGAAGATTTTTCTCTTCAGACATACCTGGTTTTTAAGCCTCTTGAGTCAATGGAGTCCAAAAATCTGCTGTGACCTATAGGCTTGGTTTGTATCAAAGGACCCAACAGGTACAGCCTAAAGACGCTGCACCCAAAGGCAGGGCTACTCAGGGAATCCGTATACATTTGAGGGCTATAAGCAAGAATCTCTGGCAGGAATCCACACTTTTAGATTTGTTTTTTTTTTTTTTATTATTGAAGTAATTTTGTTACTGATGCTTTTATTTTCAGTTGGCCTCTGCATGACTATACTTAGTGAATACACTGTTGGGATTGTTTTTCTCTTTTACTCTTATATAGCATCTATATAATAGCATCCTTATATAGCATCAAGGATTCAAGATGCTATTCTAATAAATGGCCCCAATTTTACTCATTCATAGCATCCCATCAAATGACATCAAGTTCAAATATTAAACTAACAACAAAAGTCACGGTGAGAGGCTGTGCTGTCTTGGCACAGCGAGTACAGCTGACAAGGCGTTCAGCAATGTAGAAAGACTTAAGTGCTGCATTCTCTGGGAGCCTCTCTAAATTGAACAGAAAAAAAAATGTATTTGAACTCTTAGTACTTAAAGGTACATCAAACTCAATAGGTAAGCTACACTCATGCTACAGAGAAATGCCATGTTGTTTGCTTGCACTGTTGTCTGCATACAGCTTTTGATTTGTGTTTCAGTCGTGAATTATGTGGGTTTTGGGAGCAGCATTGTAATTTTGATGTGTGGCTGTAGAGCACTTAGTACAACAGAAGTCTGGTCCTCACTAGTTCCTAGCTGCTACTTCGATACTGGTAAAAGAGCAGTGAAAAGAAATACAAAAACTGAAGTGAGGATTTCTGGGGTACAAGGGAAAGAATTCCAATTTTGAACTTCTTGACTTCCTAGATTTTAGTGAACCTCTTTACTGTTTTCTTTTTAAAATTCTTCTGGCAAACAAATGTATGAAATGTTCCCCAAGACAGCAAGAATCAATCTTATTTTGGGGGGTTCTATGTATTCACAGTTGCATCTCAGATTGCTAGGAGGTGCAAGTGCTGAGCTTATCTGTAAAATAACAACAGTGTTAAAAGATTAAAAAACCCTCTGCTTCCAAAATATTTTCGTTCTTTTAGAAAAACACTTCTAAAATATATGACTATGTGGACACCTGCTTCATTTCTTCACTGATTGATTTTATGTAAAACTTTTAAAACTAATAAATAAAATATGAGAGGTAAAAACGCTCATGATTTCTAAACGAAAAGTCTGTTCATTTTCATAACAATGCAGTGGGCTGGTGCCAGAATAGTTCATAATTCAGTGATCTCTTAAAATATTCAAACTTTTTTTTAAAAGAACATTAGTTGTCATTATTTTTGGAAGTACTTTTGAAATGGCTCCATTTGAAGAATCACCAGAGTGTCTCAGATCTGTTCACAATAATGCAAACATTGCACTGGTGAAACTTGTGGTTGTTTTGAAATTCCAGAATGAACACCATGTTGATTTGGGGGTGGGGGGTGTTAATATAAATACATTTTGTTGAACTTGAAGCCAAATTCAATCCATTTTTCCAGATTTGTTCTTACGTTATTCCTCAGGGATTATTTATATGTGTTACATGGCTGCTTTTTCATTTTCACAGTTCTGTTGTCCATAATTAAAATAGACAGTTGCAGAAGAATAACCCTGTGTACGTCTAACTTTATTTTTTGGCTCAGACTAACTTCTAGATCAAATATTCAAATTTTTTATTGAGTAAAACTCCTAGGTTCTAAATGGCAGACTTCTCAGTAGCCAAAAATTGTTAAAGGAAAAACGTTTTTGCCGAGGTACAGTACCAATACGAATAGCCACAGAATTCATTTGTTAAAAAGAACACATTTTATAAACATTTGTGTTTTGACTACTAGTCCATGAAATATAGCAACAAGACCAGCAAATTTTATTATGTGATTTTATGCATCTAATTCTGTATTCACATCAAAACCCCCACATTTATTACCTTTTCAAATTATAGTATACATTTTTCTTTACAGATAAGCAAACAATATATAAAATCAACGTTCTATAAAATTATAAACCTTTGCATTTGTAAAGAGTAAAGGAGTCTAAAATGTGTAGTTGCAAACATTCACATTTTATTAATTTGACCAAAGATTTATATTCTTCTTCTTCTGTGGCTCTTAAAATTTCTTGTCAAGCAGACTGTCAGTCTTGGTTGCTCACTGTGCAGCCTTCTTGATGCTTAATCTGTCCTGTCATCTGCAAAAGATACTCCCTACTTTGTGTTGCACTTCACAAGCCACACATCATATTAGCTTTTCGCTACGAAACCAGCGTTTTGTTGTTTCTTCCATATGGGCTGGGGCAGCTCGTCAGCTAGTGTAAACTGTTACAGCTCTAGCAAAGCTGGAAGACCTTTCTCGCTAAGTCTACTTATTTTGAACGGGGATCTGTTTTATGGAGCAAGTTTAACTAGCATCACATATACGGACCTGCATGTTTGCTTTTACAAACAAATAACAGAAAATGAGAGTCAATTTCCTTTTTTAAAATCATAGTGAAAAATTTTTTGTAATCTTTTTTGCTATGCAAAGCTTATGTAATTTTCCAGCAAATGTCTCCTTAGAAGCTCATTTGACAGGATAATTCTAAAATTTTCAAGGTACTTCAAATGATCAAACTTTAATCGGTAGTTTTATCCTGAACCTCTTAGATGGGAGAAAATTCAGAGCACGGCAGACCTTGTTCGTTGTGCTGGTTCCCAGGAAACTGGCTGGTTTGGCTGCTGAATTTAGCTGGCTGGTGTGTGCATATGACCACTTCCTGGCAGATGTTCAGGTCTGGTAAGCTTTTGTAGCTGTTACCCGGAGGGGAAGAGAGAAGTGTTTTGAACCCGTAAGGACTTCAGTTTTATTTTGGAAACATGAGGTTTGAACGCTACGAAAGCTGAGGACCGATTCTTTTACGGGCACAAATCGCATACACGATATGAAAACCCAGTACCTTTTCCTTTAAATACATGGGTATCAAGACATGAGTCTTACCTTAACAGGATTTTTATCTTCCTCAAACGTGCTGCTATGTACATCAGGATAAGCCATTGTACAGTAAGAATGAATATCACATATTTAAATGGCTGATCCCTATGCTGATAAAACTGTTTCAAATCATCAGTCAATCAAATTAATCTATCTTTTTTTTTTTTTTTGGTAGGTATTCATCAAGACAGTATCGTTTCCAAGTCTTACATCAAGGGAAATGATAATCCTCCATTCTTTGTGATTTTTGGGATGGTGCTTCATGTAGAACTGTAGAAGGAAAATGTACTCTAGACAGCTTTCTATTCCTGTGATTTCATTAATGATCAAATGCTTTTAAGTAAGTAAGTGGCACGCAGTACCTTGAAGGATTGCAGCCAGTATATTCAAAACATACAATGGCAGTTCAAAACTCATTGGCATTGGCTTTAGTTTTAGATGAACAGAAAGGCTGGATCACAATTATCTAAGCTGTCTTCATTTATTCCCAGTTTTATTATATTTGTATTTCATCTAATTTGTTCCAAGTGTGAACATTTCAGATACTGAAAGAGGTACTGCCCATGAAGTATTTTATTGTATATGGTTCAAACTGGCAGTGATTAGAAACAACTCAGCTTGTCTTCACTTGGCTTTGAAATGCTGTATTTCAAAATGGAGTGC